CATTTTGTTGGTCACTCAGACCTCAGAGCAGGGGCTGGTTTTGCCTGGGAAAACACCCATCTAGAGAACACTCTTATTTTTCTCTCTAATGTATCCTTAATTGCAGCAGCACAAAACATCACATCTGGGCTGCAGCAGAGCTCCAGCCCTATGTGAAGTAACCACACACCGAATATCTTGAAGCACTGGCCCACAGTTACCAGCAAGCTTTTGTGACAATCAAGGCACAGATGCCACGTGGCTTCTCATACCACAGTGTTCTGAGGCTCTTGTGGGAGACAACTCCTGACACTCGTTCCTGCAAGCAGTCAGTGCTGATTGATGACTCTATTAGAATGGTGGCTGTGACTCCATGTTTTCTCTATGGCCCTCAACACCAGGCAGAAAGCAGAGACTTAAGGAGCTTTTTTAGCTCTCAATTCCTCTATCAAGAGTTAGGGTGTCCTTTGTTCAGCTGCTTGTTACACAGGTCAGAAAAGGCTCATTTCATGGTTTCTCCAGCTGATGAACCTCTGCCTTGACCTGCATTTCTCCAAGAGTGCTAATAAAAGGAAGATTAATCTTGCAAAAGAAATATCTGTATTTCAACTACCCACTGTGATGTTCATACCCAACACAGGGACACAGCTGCAGCCCTGACCAACCAACCTTTCTCTTCTCCACTACTGAAACCTGCAGATCTCAGCAGGTCAAGCATTAACAGGTTTTTTCCCTAATACTTAGCATCATTTCCAGGTTATATTATGTGTTCACTTTGTTAACCAGATCATTTGGAATTGCCCTGTTTCTTTGTTTTCCCTTATTGCACTTTGTTCCCCACAGGTCTATGCCTGTAACTCCCCACTCTCCCTTCCTTTCACATGTTCCTTTCTCCACACCATCACTAAACCACTTTTTCATTATTCCCAGCCAAATTCTGCCTTTACACATTTTTTTATTTGGACACTTCCGCACTTCAGGTCCCTTTTTTTTTTTTCCACTAGCAAAGTCACTGTTGTGCTTTCAGGCAACAACAATTTATTTATGGGCTCAATGCTGTATTTTTTATTACACACTTTCAGCTGAGAAGAGATGGAGAAACACCAGATATTGTGTGTGTTTGCTCTGCAAGTATCTATGGATCTGTACCTGCACACACCATTGTGGTATGGGATCCTGCAACACCTGACAGTGTTCTCAACATAAAACCTGCTGTTTCAGCCTACAGTTATCCCCCAGATTAGGGATTTAGCTTATTATTTATTTGCTAGTCACTCTCACAGAAACCTCTGGCTCTCACAGTTAGGCCCCAGACTCTCTTTAGCAATGCAGTCCTCAGAAAACAATAAAATACCCCAAGGTGTCATCATTTCCTAAGCTGATATCAAAAATTCAGCCTCTGCCCAACATCAGACATGTACCCTCAATGCAAAAGAGCTGGAAGGAGTAGGGATGGTGCCCAACTATGGGAACAGAGGGTGGATGATACTGTGCTGAGGGCATTACCCAGATTGAACTCAGGGAGATCTCTGTTTTCCAAACCCATCCAAATCAGTTTAGATTATCAAAGAAACCACATCTAGCTCATGACATACTACAAAGTCATCCAGACACACCTCATTTGCTGTCTACCTGGTAACAGTTCATGCTTGTTAGATTTCTGCACACATAGAACTGTTTCCTCTCCATCACCACCTCCTCTGGAACGACTGGTTGCTACTCCTGCTTGGCAGCAAGTTTGGTTTTTTTCCAGGTAATAAAGTACTCCCACTGGCTACACAGGCACTGATAACTCAGAGGAAGAGGGGGAGTTGGAAGTATGAATCTGACTCCCACTTCAAAATACTCACACCTTAATCATCTTGGATAAGCCTCAGTTGTGTTCTATCCCTCCTGACTACTCACTAGAAAGTGAAGTTATGTACTTCTCCAACATTTGATATGAGCTACTAAGAGTAGTGATTTATAGGTTTAGTCTCTTGATCAGACCTACATTCCTGTTCAGAAAAAAACCCCAAACACAGTGTCTATGTTGTTCTCCTAATGCTCCTTTCCTAACAGATTTTTAATTCCAAGCATCTTCTCACTCCCAATCCCTACTTCAAAATCCTCAAGAGGCTGATACAAAAACTGATTACAGATCAGACTTCTTACCAAGTGGAAATAAGGCAATCAAGACATGCAAAGAAACAGCGTATTTTCATGGCATTTTGTAGTCAGAATGACATTTCCACTCTGGGGAAACCTCTTAGCCACCTTTCCACTTGTGTTACTCCATAACCCCTGGGCTACCAGGTCAATCCAAACACTTGGAACACACCACTCAGCTGTAGGCTAAACACGTTTGCTTCCCTCTACCCTCAATTCTTCCCAAATGTCATGAAATTTAGGCTGCTGTGCAGTACGTGAAAAAAAAACCAAAACCAAAAATAGAATACCATGTGTTCAAGTTCTTTCCTCCAGAAACCGCTTTGATTCTCCAGCAACCACCAAGTCACTGAGATAAACAAACCCAGCTGAAACATCTTTAGGCTTTCACAGCCTTGTGACAATAATGCCTAGAGAACCAACATGCCCAGGTAATAAAGAAATTCTCAGTTCATCTCACTGGAAAAAGACAAAAGGTTCAGAAATTTTCCATCAGGAAAATCTAGAACTCAAGAACTTGTGCAGCTTCAGGGTTTGGCCTTGACATTTCACCATCAGTAAAGACTCTCACACAAAGTATTTATTTTTAAAACCCTATGGATATTTATTGAACCAATATGAAAGCAGTAAAAGTGTTCATAACCAGACACTACAAAATGTGTAAGTTTTTATAAAAGTTGCCTACAGGACTGAACTAATTCAGCTCCAGACAGCAAACAAAAGAGTTTCAGTAGCATTCTAAGCAGACAACTAAGGACAGATTAAGACAAACTACAATAAACAAACAAATATTTCTCAGTTGAAAACAACACAAGTACAGAAACTGTTCTTCTCACTTCTGTTGTTTTAGTTTAGGCTTGTTAGGAGCAGGTGGAATCATCTCTGTGGAGCAGAATAATCACCAGTAGCCTAAGTAGACCTGGAATAAACAAACTCAATTTTAGAAAGCAATATTTAGAGTAACCATAAGCAGGTAGAACACTCAACATCCTCCAAGAGCAGAAACTGCTGGAAAGAAAAATTTTATTTGTCTCAAGATACAACATATAATAATTCAGTGATCAAGAGGCTGAATTGCCAAGTCTCCATGTAATACAGCAGCATCTTGCTGCATTTCAGAATGCACTGTGCAGAAATGCTAAGTGACTCAAATCAACATGCAAAAAGATCACTAGGAAACAACTATTAGTCTTCTTATTTTTAGAATAAGCCACAGATGACTCACCCAACTGCAGCACTGAAACATCCCCATCACTCTCAGTGCCCCAAGGTTGGCACCAGCAACTTGTACATGTCAGAAAAGCACACAAACCTCATTAATGTTTTCAGAAATTCATTTAAAGATAGAAACAGGTCCAAAAAGATGCCTGCCTAAATGCATTGCAATTACGTTACAATTATTTTCCAAATACACAGATCTGCTCTGTCTTTTCTCAGCTCATTACTGACTCAAACAATTTGCCCTTCTGGGATCAATTGTTTGCTAATAAATAATTGTTTACAGTCACAAAATGATATTAAGGAGTATTCTTATTAGTTTTCCTTGTACAGCCTAATAAGATTCAAAACTAGCTGATTCCCAAGAGTCTAACCTTAACCTCGCTGTGTTTAACAGCCCAGGAAATGATGAACCATCTGTTGCAGAAAATAATGGAGGGCCAAGAGGAAATATTGTTTAATTGTAGATTAACCTCCTCCTAGGGCAGAATCAAGCAGCTACAGAATTAGCAACCACAACTAGTCATGAACAAAAATAACTGACTGCAGCTCTTACCATCACAAGACCAACAGGAGTAAATAGTCTCTATCACCTTTATAAACAAAATAAACCCGAACTATTAAATATGTAACAAGTATAACCTGATTTTAAAAATGCCCTGAATTATGATATTTAGATTTTCTTTCACTTGAGGAACCCTCAGAAATAAATATTTTTTTTAAATCTGGCTTTATTTTGCTATGAGCATCAAAATTATTTTAAAACAAGTATCTCCATGTGAGAGATGTGGAAGTTACAGAATAATAAACTCCTTCTATCCACAGATATAAAATGGCTGCTCTGAAGCAACAGACAAAACACTTAAGGAAGTGAGGGGAAAGGTTTTGAGGTTTTAAACTCCAGAACTCTGATCAGTTCTGTGTATCTATTTACACAGAGACGACCCGATAAAGTGTAAGATAGTTTGAGAAGAGAAAAAAAAAATAGCAGGACTGAACCCCAGGAATTTGAAAATACAGCCAAGTGCTCCTGTGGAGCAGCACAACTCCGCACTGTGATGGCAATTTTTCCATGCAGTATTCATGCCAAAGTGAGTTTACCAGGAATCTTCGCCTCCATCAATCAGACAGCAACACTGACAGAAAAGTGTGTTACCAGAGGGCTGCAGCAAACTCCAACACACAGGAGCTGAGAAAGCTTCTCCTTGATTTTACACAACCTTCTCAGAACAGCATCTAAACCCACTGCTGGCTGTGACAGCTGCTGCATCCCCAGTGTGAAAGCTTTCATTAATTCCCAGTTTTAAATATCCAAACACAGTGACATTCACTCAAATAAATTATTCTTGAATTCCTCACTTAATTCCTGAAGCAATGAGCTTGCAATAACTCCACAGTTTCATATAATAGCACCTATTGAAAGAGGAGAAGAGTTTGACATTCCTCTCCTCCTAAACAACTAGGCACAATTTTATCCATCAGACGTCTATCAACCGACGGATATTGAAAGCTTGGGCGCAGGAGATAACATCAAACCCAACCCTACTGTCAAGCTGCACTATCTCCTGCCATCAATAATGCTATTCATGAACTTAGGGAAATTAATAAATCTTGGGCTGGACGCTGAGAAAGCCTCAGCTCCAGGTGAAGCACACTCACTTGGGTTTTGTTTCTGCATCTGTCACTTGGCGAATATAGATCCCGTCCTCGGGGTGTTCAATGTCATCCATCTCGTACATGTAGGAAGAAGCTATTGCCAGGGTAGTCCCATCATTGCTGAAGGCAAGGGATGCTATGCTGGTGGGATACCTATGGAATTGGCACAGCCTCTTCTTGTTGAATGGATCCCAAATATTGACAAATCCATCAGAACCACCTGAAAATTAACGTTTAAAAACCAGTTGAGAATTATGATTGAGGAAAAAGAGTGAAGAGATACAGCACAGAAAAAAGAAAACTACTCAAAACTGTCAAAACACAAGAGCTGATGGATTCAGTAAAGCTCACAATGAGCATTTCCCCAAATCCCTGTTAAAACAGTTAACTCACTATATCAAATGATTTTAACATCCTCACAATTTAAATGCTTCAAAAGCAAAGGCTGATGTGGTTACATCAAACCTGATGCAAGTGTCACAAAATACTGGGTCCCTACCTGTGGCAAATGTGTTGTGGACATTATGGAAAGAAATGGCATTGACAGGATAAATCTGCTCAATGTTGTTTTCCTTCAAACGGTGACATTTGAATGCATATTTCTTCTTCTGGATTTCAGGGCTTGGATCCAAGTATTCCACTGCAACACGACCTTCAATAGAGCTTAAAACATAACCCTAAGCAAAAAGGAATTGGAAATACACGTTTTAGAAGTTTACAATGTGGAGAAAATGAGGTACAATTTGAGCTTATTCCTCTGTAGATTCTAAGACAGTGATAAGGCAGAGAAAAAAAGGCTTTCTGAGGGAGATTCTCATTGCATCAGAGTTTTTAAGCTGAGAGTGAGACTTGAAATTACCAGTGCAGGTGCAAACACAAGCTTGTGTTTAGGGAAAAGAATGAGCAGTTAAGAACCTGTTGTATTTGCTCACCTACACCCCAGGGCCTAAATATCTGAAATATTAGAGATCCCCAACAGGACTATTTAGTTTCAGAATTACATTACATTAAAGTTAGCTCAGAGCTTGATACTAACAACTAAACACTTAAGCTGAAATAGTATTTTCAGTGAAACTTGATTACAAGTTGTGTTCACTTCTCCAGTTAATTACAGCCCTGACTTAGAGCAACCTGAGATGCTTTTAGGATAACTTCTGAGTGAAGGCCATAATAGATCTTTTCAGAAATAGGATTGCAATGATATGTAGCTACAGCAAAGTTCTTTAAAATCCATAACACAATCTGGAGGATCAGCTTGTTTTACTATAACTAGAACTGAAAATGGACACAACACTCACGCCAGTTCAAGAACAAGCAACTAGGTCATGCAATTCCTGTACTATCACTCTGTGCACAGAGAAAATTCTCTCCCAAATTAGCCTGGCAGAAAAAGCCAATCTTCTTGCTTTACTCCAGAGAAATACCACAGACACCACGTTAACTTCCACAGAACAGCTGTATGATCACCTAAACTGTATGATTCCCCCCTGGATAATGGATCTGGAGTGCATGGCACAGACTCAGAGTTAAGAAAAGAAAGAAAAACATAAAGGTGACATTTGTGTAGTTTTAATCCTGCTCAAGGGTGCTGAGGAACCCAGAGCTCAGAGCATAAAGGCTGTGAGGAACCACCAATTCTCTCTCTCTCTCTCTCTTCTGCACTTTGCTGAGGTGAGAGGGTTGATTTTTAATTACACATCAACATCGAGATGCATCAAATGTATTCTTAAATAAGGAGGCAAATCTAAGAAAAAATGGCAACTTAAAATGCTGATAAGTTAATGGCAAACATAGCTAAGCTGCACTACTAACCTACAACAAGGAGTCTCCTCACTCTCAGAGTTGGACTATAAAGCTTAAAAGATCAGGAATTTTAAAATGCATAAAACTTGAAAGATGAACTATCATTGGCAAATAAACTTGAAAATAAACCACCACTGAAAAATAAACTTTGAAGACAAACTACCTCTGAAAAATAAACTTCAAAACA